AACGTTTGGCAAGTTGAACGACATAGAAAAAGGGCAATGAATTTTGAAACAGCGCGAATTCACTTTTAAGAGACGTTTTTGGCACCGAAATCGCCGTCGTCGTTACTGAAGCTCCCATTAGTTCACTCTGCACTGGATAGCTTTCATACTTTCCTATAAACCACACCAGATTGACCTTTCATTCCCATTAAGACGTCATTTTTACCGTATTTACCTCGTCGTCGCTTCCTTCGTCTATATCGACGTCGTCGTATTCTTCTTCTTCTCCTTCTCCTCCTGCGTCGTCGGCGTTTTCTTCGTCTTCTTCTCTTTAATCTCCTTCGCCGTCTTCTTCGTCGTCTGCGTCGTCTTTTGCGGTATCGTCTTCTATTGAATCCTTTGGTAAAAGCAAACAAAAGGCAAAACCTCAGATACCATTGTTCAAGTAAAGAATCACGTTGGTGTGATTATTTAAACTGAGTAAATAGAGAGATAAGGAATCACGTTTACGGCAAACGACAAACGTGTAATTGTATCACGTGACCAAGTTTTCTGTTTACTTATCGTTTTCTATTCATTGCACAAGAATACGTTTTTTCTTGTTATGTTTATTTATCAGATTTATTTTGGACAGTTTTTATCTGTTCGTTGCCTAATTTGAGAAATTCTCAACCTACATCTCTCGTTTGCCTTTTGCCGTAAGCGTGACCTAAATCTGTCTAATGATCCACCGCGTTCGAAGTCATTTAAATTTGGTCACTCCTAGGATCTAACCATTGTTTAATATGATCTGATTCGAGGAGATATATAGCGTAGACTACAAAGCAATTTATGATAAATAAACCACTTATGAAGAGATGTAGAAGTTTACTGATTGTTTAAAAGCACGGTGTAAGTTAGACCTCGTCTATAAAGGCGACCATTAGTGTTTAAATAGTGTATAAACTTAAGCTATAGAAACACGTCACGGCTACGTGTCCAAAGGAGACACAAGCTGGAATCCTAGAACCTTAGGTTACAGTTTTATTGATTTATCCCATCGAGTATCCTCTCAGTGCAAGAAGCAAATACAGTGCAATAGATTGATTCAGAATCGCGTTCACGGCAAACGGCAAACGCGAGACTCATGTTGGCAACCTCTCAAATTAAGAGATGAGCCGGCAAAAAGTGTCCAAAATAATTTTAATGGCTAAACTTGGCATGAAACCACATATTGGTAGATATAATAAACAGTAGATGAAAAGTTAGAGGATAACTTGGTCGCGTGGTTCAAATTGACGTTTGCCGGTTGACGTAAACTTGATTTAAAATCTATCTAATGACTTAGAATAACACTTTGAATCCTTAATGCGAAATACAAGGTATTTTACGTTTGGATGTTGTCTCATAAGTATTTTGATTACATGGTTATTTAAATAAACAGAAAATCACTTTTCCGACAATAAAAAAATCTGTCCGCTATCCGTTCCTGTTTCTCGAAATAAAGGAATCAAAAAATCAAGATTCTCATCCCTCATCATAAATTCAGTCATGCCATATCATTTCCATAGTCTAATAAACCTTTCCCGCATTCCTGTAAACAAAGGCACCAACTCGAGGGTAGGGTGGACAAAATACAGTGATTTGTATGGAACTGTCCATCCGAGTTTCGACCTCATTTCTTTATGTTTGCTCACTGGAGCGGAACGCGAGAAAGGTCTATTATCTTTAGATCTCCGTTACAGGCACATTGTAAAAAATAAGTAAGTTGTAAGTTCTTAAGAAATCAGTGGCGGCCAAATTACTCCACAAATTCAATTCATAAAAAAAAAGATGATTTTGTATGACGAATAAGGAAAAGCACCGAGCAAGCCCTTAAAATTCTTACTTCTTCGCCGGATGACCCGCCGTCTCTTGATCCTGTAACTTTTACGTCCAATTTTGATTCTTCTTCCTTTTATTATCCTCACAACTCTTCGGCGTCCTTTATACCGGAAAGAACCAAATGTTTTGCGCCTGATGCCTCGCCATGTCTTTTTGACTTTACAGAACCAACGTCCTCTACGCCGTCTTACTCGGTACCTCCTGCGTTTTATACGTATCGTTATCCTTAAGCGTTTTATTCTGCGCAACTTTTTGCGATACTTAAAACGCCATGTACGACGTTTTTTATACAGCCTGCACCAACGTTTCCTGTATCGTATTCTCCACCGTCTTCTTGTTCGCTTTATTCGGCACCATCTACGTCCAATGCGTATTCTTAGTTTCTTTCGGAACCGTTTGATACGTCGCCGTGCACGCCCTATTCTCAGAGTGTATCGTCTTCTTCTGCGTATACGGCATTTGCGACCTCGGTAACGAACATAAGATGTTCCTGCGGGAGATAAAATTACTATTAGGAAATTAGCCTATTAAGATGATGATCATGACGATAATGATGATAGTGATGGTGATGATGATGATGATGATGATGATGATGATGACGTTGATAATGGCGATAATGGAGGTGATAATGATGACGACGATGATGATGATGATGATGATAATGACGACGATGATGATACAAATGGATCATTACTAGAGAGTTAGGTAGATCAGTAAAGAACTGAAAAGCAGAATTCATTCCCTTTATCGACCATTATATCTACTCACGTCTTCTTCGCGATTTTCGTCTTCGAATTGGTCTTCTCCTTCGGCGGCGACGACGACGGCGGCGGCGTCGTCTACGACGTCTTCGTCTTCTTCGCCTTCGCCTTCGTTTTCTTCTTACTCTTCGTCTACGCCGTCTTCTTCGTCGTCGTCTCACTCTTTTAGCGCGGCGACCATATCGCCTGAAGACACCTTAAACAGGATGAAAATCGGATATAATTACAAACCTCAAGAAAGATCTCATGTTCGAAATCATATTCGAAATCTGTAGTGGCAATAAAACAGGGCTACGACTGATTTCAGTCAATCCAATTACAGTTTGCCCTGTACACGACCTCTTGTAGTCCCATTATCAACATAAATACAGCATTGCAACCAACATGGTCATCGCCAATGTTGGCAACATTAGGAGTAGCACTATTACCACCGCCAACGTCATCAGCTTCATATAGATCAATGTACACTAGACCAGAAGGAGCATCACCAACATGGCCATCGCCAATGTTGGCACCAATAGGAATAGCACTATTAACACCACCATCGCCATCAACTTCATCAAGATCCATGTACACTTGACCCACAGAAGCATTACTAACATGGTCATCGCCAACGTTGGCACCAATAGGAATAGCACTATTAACACCACCATCGCCATCAACTTCATCAAGATCCATGTACACTTGACCCACAGAAGCATTACTAACATGGTCATCGCCAATGTTGGCACCAATAGGAATAGCACTATTAACACCGCCATCGCCATCAACTTCATCAAGATCCATGTACACTTGACCCACAGGAGCATTACTAACATGGTCATCGCCAATGTTGGCACCAATAGGAATAGCACTATTAACACCGCCATCGCCATCAACTTCATCAAGATCCATGTACACTTGACCCACAGGAGCATTACTAACATGGTCATCGCCAATGTTGGCACCAATAGGAATAGCACTATTAACACCGCCATCGCCATCAACTTCATCAAGATCCATGTACACTACACCCAGCAGGAGCATTACCAACCTGGCTATCGCATCTACGTCCAACATCAAAAACCTACATAAGGATATTTCGGGGGAGTGGTGGTGCAATGAAGGCATTAAAGAAATGTGTACAGAGTTGAAGTTTGTGTAAATACCTTATACTTTTTTGGCGTCATCGTCACAATAACTCACAAAAAAATTATTTTCAACACCACCGCTACCACCACACCACCATCATCAACAGCAACTACATGAATTGGACAGGGAAGAGGTAGTAGTAGGAGAGTCATCCTACTGTAGATTTAGTCAAGCCTTAAAGCGGAGCTCTCTTTACATTCTTAATCATAACTATAACAAAACTGTCAAATCTGATTGGCTCTCAACTGCCCTGATTTCAGCCTTAATTGGACAGTTTAATAGGACAGTACGCGTCATGCCTAAGTAATTGGACAGTACGCGCCATCAAGCGCGCGCTTAAATGGCATTTTTTTTTCACTGCTTGCAAAACAAAATTTCGAATTTCTTGCGTTTTGGTTTAAAAAATAGCTTATTGTATCACAAGTTTTGTTAAAGTTATGATTAATTGGTAACAGAACTTTGTGTCGTCCAATTCAGTCTGTAATCATACTCGTGATTAAACAAATCGGACTCCCGCTACGCGGTCGTCCGATTTTGTTAATCACTGGTATGATTACAGACCGAATTGGACTCCACTCAGTCCTGTTACCATTACTAACCATTCACAAGGATCAATATACTTTAAATAAGTATGGCTTAATCAATCACTAAACGTTCCTACCCTCCCCTGACAACAGAGGCATTTACATTATTCGTCATTGATAAAAGTACCGTGAGAATGAATAGATTTCCTTTTGGCTTGATTATTACGCAAGAGGATTGCACGATGAGCCATGAGAATGTTTGCATAAGAGACTTAGGGATGGGGTACATAACATTGTTGAATTACATATCCTTATTTCATCATATTAAATCTTAAGCAGCAATATCATAAACTCATCCTCTGATCTGCCGTACAACAATCATCACATAATTACCCTCGCATAATTACCCCATAATACACAAACATAAAGCTTCAACCAAATTCTGAATATACTTACGTCTTCGCCGAATGATCCTCTTCTTAATCCTGTACATTTTCCTTCCAACTCTGATTCTTCTTCCTTTTCTTATCCTCACAATTCTACGACGTCCTTTATACCGGTAAGAGCCAAATGTTCTGCGCTTGATGCGTTTCCACCTCTTCTTTACTCTACAGAACCATAGTCCTCTTCGCCGTCTTACGCGGATTCTTCTACGCCGTATACGGATGGTTATCTTCACTCGCCTTATCGTCCGCACCCTTCCACGGTACTTGTAGCGCCATGTACGACCCCTTTTGTACAACCTACACCAACGTCTCTTGACGCGTATTCTCCATCGTCTTCTTGTTCGCTTTATTCTGCACCACTTACGTTTAATGCGTATTCTGAGTTTCCTTCGGAACCGTTTAATACGTCGCTTTACACGTCCTATTCTCAGCGTGTACCGCCTTCGTCTACGTATACGGCATCTGCGCCCTCGGATACGGACAAACAACACACCTATAGAAAGTAAGATAACATGAAAGGCTGTCAACTCTGATCGGACAACACTTAACATAACAGTTTTAAAAAAATCCAGTATCAGCAACTCACTTTAGAAAGCCGGTTTACTAACTTAAAACAAACACCACTGAATCGCAGTCAACAATTACCAAAACCGTAAAAAGGACTTATTGACGGACTCAAACAAAACTGACAACGAACAATAAACGACTGTGACAAAAGACGGACCGAAACGCACCAATGACAGGTATAGAGTCTTCGTAGCCAAAAACATCACGGCTCAACTAAAAGACGACCAATAACATCGCGACTTAATTGACCAATCAGCTCAACAACCAAGAGTTAAATACCATCAACTGACGTAATACAATTCATTTTGACTCTGAAGATGAATGACAACCGCACAGGTTGTTGAAACGGTAGTCACTGTCAACAACAGTCGTATTCAAGACTAAACTCAACCAGGCGATCATGTTCAACCTACTTACGAAGTTTAAAATCCAATTACAACCTCCGCAAACTGGGGCCTTTTAACCGTTTATGAGTGAATTTAGTACTGCCTTAGCACAAAAAAAACAATTCAGACATATTAGAAATTGCCCCGATGAATAGCCTGGCAAAAATTTTGCCTTAAATTTGTAACTTTGCACAATTTTAGTTGTATACTTGTGCCTCTAACAGAAACAAAAGTACTAACGTCTTTTTCCTCGTCGGCGTCTTCTCTTTCGGCGGCGCCGAGTTCTTCTTCGGCGTCGTCTTCTTCGTCTTGTTCTTCGTCGCCTTCGTCGCCGCCTTCGCCGTTTCCTTCTGATCCTACGTCTTCTTCGACGTCTCCTCGACACGCCTGTAGAGAATTTTTTTGAAATAAAAAAGGTTTTTTGAATCATTTTCAAAAAAAAGATATGCTTCATTAGAGTCGTCAAGTCTTAGGTGTCTTAGCTGTGCATCAGATTCCACATTGTGGTATTAGGTAGTTTACGCAACCACGATGACGAAACAAAGAAAACGTCAATAATAACGTGTTTCCGCGTTCTTTCAAACTTCATCGCCATTAACACATGTTAGGTGTAGGCGATTTTTCCTGGAGTTTAATTATTGGGGACTGCTTTCAAGATAAATAAAAGAAATGTAATTTCTAAAGACTGCGTTTCTTTGGAAAGTCCACCAAAATTCAGATTCTTGCATCCAGGACGGATTTCGTGTTTTGTAAGCTCCAATCTGTATCGTAACCTAGCCCTTGTATCCTGATCTGTATCGTAGCGTGGAAAAATACAGCCCCATGTTCTTTGTTTTCATTCAAGCATTGATTAGGTAAAAAATATATTTGCAAGAGATCTCCTATCGAAGTGTGAAGTTCGTCATGTTCTCGCCTTTTGGTGCCAAATCCAACGAACCTGGGTGAAGACTCCAATCATAGATTCTCCCAAAGGATCGCACACTATCTATTACTCCTCAGGGATCATTGATTGAATTAAAGTCCCCTTGGATAGACCCCCTACCCCCCCTCCCAACTGCTCTAGGCATTCTTGGTATGTTGGTATTGATGGTGTGTTCACGATGTAAAAGCAACTTCTCAGCAAAGACTAATGTTGCTTATCTTTCAACTAGAAGAAAACATTTAACAATTTTGGAGTACGTGAAAAGCCCTGTCCAGCATCATTGCCCCTTTGTCATATTTTACAAGGTGTGTCTTGATACTTACGTCTTCCACGCCGGCGGCGGTACCTCTTGACCTTGTATCTTCTAACTTTACCGTATCCTTTTCTTCCTCGAACACGGTAACCTCTTCTTGTTCTCCTTACAATTCTCACTTTCCTGCGGTAGCGGATGTAGCTTACAGTACGGCGCTTGATCTTCCTCCAAGCACGGCGTCTACGGATCAGCCACCTTCGCCGTCTGTACCTCACTCTATAACGTTTTCTTCCGATACGGCATGTTAGCCTGACGCGCTTTATAATACGCCAACGGCCCCTTCTCTTATAATACCACCGATTCTTTCGTCTACGTAGTCCACACCAGCGTCTCTTGATACGCACACGCCAGTATCTACCCTTGCGTTTAATTCTCCGGTATCCGCCCAGTAGGCGTATCCTTATACGACGTTTGAACCGACGAACAACCACCTTCTTTCTCCTAATTCGTATGATGTACCGTCTCCTTCTTCTTATAACGCAACTTCTTCCACGGTAACGTATTACTCGTCGACCTTAAGGGGAAAAACGAACAGGGAAAGTGTGAAAAAGGGAGGGCGAGGCAAGAACATGAAAAACGAACGATGCACTTTTGGATTTATCGCTTCTTTCGTCGTAACAATTGGATTCTTCCAAAAACGACACCCTATGACTCCTCAGTACCAGACTAGTGATGGAATCAGAGCATTCACGGCCTAAAAGCATTTTTGGATTAAGTGAGGTAAATTATGTCTACTTCTCTACTAGTTTTACTATTTTGTTATTCTAAGGCCGCTTGTAGTGCGTATATATGTCCAAAGAAAGGCGGTGAGGTCGATTGAGGTGTACGTAGCCGTGCGATGGTGTCCAGATAGCGAGCTTTAGCAGCGACCACACTTATTTCTGGGACGGAAAGAAAAGCAACCAGAAGTTTTATCGTTCGCTTCATGTTTTCGCTTGTGGAACAGGGATCACCGGAAGACAAACGAGACAAACGAGAATTAAAACACGGGACTTTCGAGACAATAGTGAGTTTACGTAACAGGACGGCAGAAGAAGAGAACGGCAAAACGCTTGTGCGTGACAAACGTGACAGGGCTATTACTTGCGTGTCATGTCGTGATCCTCACTTAACATTAACGTTTTCTGGTCGTTGCAAAAACATCTGTTTAAAGGAAAGTGAAGTCTGACGTACAGATATTTCAAACAAAATTATTGTCACGCTTGTCACACAAGGTTTGCTCTCTTCTTTCCTCTCCCGTCCTGTTGCGTAAGTTTGCTACTAATCCAGTTAGTGCTGATGGTGCGCGCGCATACCACTCGGTCAAGTTGCTGTCGTTTTTAAAATGATTTCTTTGAAGTAGTCTTCATATCAATTCGAAAGGGGACAGACTGCAAATTTTGCTGGAAATGATGTTGCTGAAAATATCTAAATGCCATAACTGTTCACTGGACAGTCACGACATTCATCAATCAAATAGGATGCATTATTTATGTGCAATTCCACAATAGGTTTCGGCTTCATTAAATCCCATGCCAATAGCCCAAGTTCGATATATTAAAATTCTAACATGACTACGATGCTTTCTGGTCATTTTTCTATATTTGTTTTGGTTTTCTTTGTGCTCAAGTCTCTTCTCGGAACTGCGAGACAATGGAGTCGTGAGAAATTTGCAATTTTGACCCTAAAGCCTCGCAGTCATGTTAGAATTTTAATATAACGAACGTGGCTGTTGCAGAACAGGTTAAGAGGAGCCTAAAATTTAAGTCATCAATTTATGATAGATTGTTGTTATTGACGTACGCCTTCCTCGCCCTCTTCGTGTTCGCCTTCTTCGTCTTCCTCGTCCTCGTCTTCTTCGTCTTCTTCGTCTCCTTCGTCTTCGGATCCTTCGCCTTCGTCTATTTCGTCTTTTTCTTCTGAATCGTCTTATTAAACGGCGATTGCGACGCCTTATCCTTCGCAATCTCCTTTTTCTTCTTCGTAGCACCAGTCGGCGACTGTAGCGACCTGCAATACATGGAATAATATTTTCTTGTTTCTTTTTCCTGGTAAATTTTCAAAATCAGCCTTGTTCCCAGGACCTTGAGCGAACGGAAAAGGTCCTGGGAATTAAAATGTTAGCGTTGTAAAGAATTTAATGACAACACTTTGGACTATGGCTGCTCTATGCACTTGACTGGGTTTGAAAATGAGCCTTTCGTTGGCGCCTTCTCGCAAGCAAAACCATTTTCAGTATCGTTTCAATGTAAAAAATGAGGTAAAATATTGTAAGTGAAAAAGAGGTAAAATGTCTGCCCTTTCATAGACGGTGCGTATGAAAACCGTGATTTATGTCTGAAAAGAGCATAATCAAATCAAACTTTCAGAGAAGAAAACTTTTATTGCATCGCCAGAGTAACGAAAACGACAAAGTTTGGAAAAATTGCAGCAGTTAGTTCAAACCAAAGCTTACAAAGTCTCGTTGTGGTCTCACCATGGGTTTTTATTGCTTTACGATTGTGAGTAAAGAAATACCCATTTTTACAATAACTAGGCGATTTCTCTGAGCTATGTTCGATAATGGAAGGGAGAGACCACGGAAATAACGTGATGGTGGCGCACTTTGTTTTTCTCTTTCTCGAGTGCGCGATTTGCAGTTGAGAAACTTCAACGAAAATGGACGTCGAAATTGTGCAGTGAAACCACTCGCTTACGGCTCATGGTTCCACTTGGGTCTTGCACATTTTGACGTCATTTCTATGCTTAATAAGAGTACAGACCATGGAAAACTGTTGTCGATTTGTTCAATCCAAAATGATCAAATACCGTCACACCGTCATGGTCTCTTTTAAGGGCCAAAAAAAGGCATAAGGGGTTTAACTCTAATTCTTCGACTAGCAGCCGCGTCTATTTCATATGGGGGTCCTCCTCGGCCGGTTGTGTACCACTCATGCGTGGTGAGGCTTCTCTATTAACTTCTTCCTCTCACAAGGAACTCAAATTCAAAATTCATGACAATGAATATTGTACCCTTCTCAACGAGCCCACCTACCCCTTCCCTAGGCGGGGTTCGATTCCCCGGCGAAGTTGGCTGGCTGGCTCCGTATGGAGATGCCCCCTCCCATTTTGGTGGTCTTTTTACCGTGTAGATTACCCTAGTTTTTCTTTTTGTCGGATCGTTTTGTTCCCTTTGTTTTCATGGCCTTGGGGCACCGCACCACGCCCCTTGCACAGCCAAAATTCAAAAAAAACTACCCCTTCCCTAAGCTAACATTAACACTTACTTCTCACTTATGGCAAAATGATGGCTTAGGGGAGGGGTAGGTGGACAGTTTCCCAGAAACCTAAATTGACCCTGGAAGAGATAACAAACAAACTAGAAGTCTACTCACGGAAGCGCTTTATTATCCTCAGGCCACGCCATCTCTTTCCTCTCCGTATGATATATCTTCTACCTCTCCTCTTCACTGGGACACGCCTTCTTCCAACTCTTATGTAACGCACGAAACGTGGCTTGACAAGTTTAAACCGGCGTCCAATTCGCGCGTACAGTTTGCCGCGACGCAGCTGTAGACGGTAAGTCCTTCGCGCAATGCGTGCAATAAGGCGAAGGTGGCCAATTCTAATCATGCGTAATCCGTAGCGGTAGTACCAGTGTGTTCCTGGCAGTACTCTACACCACTTTCGATATATCTTCACCTGCAAAATGTTGCCCACCCTTCTCATCAACCTGTATGTACCCCTGATGTAGGCCTTGCGCAAGCGGAGACGTCTAATTTTTCTTCTCCATCTGATCGTAAATCCTAGGGTCCTATTGATGCGATAACGTTTCCTTCGGAAGCTAACGATTGTCCTTCCTGTGTGAGAAAAGGGTAGAGAATTTAATCAAAAGACCACTTTTTCTGTATGGAATGTAATTCACCATTATGTTGGTGTGACAAAGGTTTATCAAGTGTCACCCTTTGTAATTAGAGTAAGTTTAGTTGAGAACTTAGAACTACCGAGAAACAATTCCAGTGAGTGGTCACAAGCTTACGTTTCTTCCCAGCTTCAAAAAGTCGCTTAAAAGTGGTCTGGCTATGTATTAAAATGTTTTTGTTATTAACGTACGTCGCCTTCGTCTACGTCTTCTTCGCCTTCTTCGTCTTCTTTGTCTTCGGATTCTTCGCCTCCGTCGCGTTCTTCTTTTTATTCTTCGTCGAATTCGTCGCATTCTTCGTCGTCTTCTGATCACTCTTCGCCTTCGAGAACCTGAAATATATTCAAACCTTTATTGAACATGTCTCGAAAGTATTTTAAAAAACACCTTCAAAGGTCAATTGATTAATCGTTTCACTCTTAAAAAATGAAAAAAGGAGGGCTGTAGACCAAAAATTTTTACTAGTGTAATAACTAAATATTAAAATCAAAGGTAACCGTTTTCGTTGTTCACACATGCGGAAAAGGGCGGAAATCGAGCCTACACATATTGTAGCGAGAAAAGCACCCTTTGTATGAATTCGTTTTTTTTTTTTTTCACGTTCTTAGCCCCTTATTCTCCGTTTCTCTCAGACTTGAAGCTTTGAATAAACAAAAGAATGACCTAAAACATACCTCGCCTTCTTCGTGGTCTTGGCCTATAACCGGGTCTCACGCCTACAGAATGATGCCGTATAATATGATATCAATCACGAGAAATGGATAACCAATATTATAAAGACACAAGAAGTACTCCATGTACAATTCATCCAAAATTTTTGGTCAATTTTTTTCTTTTACATTTCTCTTTTTAACACTTTCTTCAATTTCGTTCCTAGATATTATGCTGTAAGAGGCTATTTGGCCTGTTGCTTTCTCACCTCCTTCAGGGATGGAGAGTTACAATGCGCCATACCAATTAAAGCTAGTATCACAGTTATTAATTTACTGGCTTTTCTTTCAGTTAGTTAGTCAGTTAGTTAATTATTTCTTTAGTTACTTAGTTATTTTGTTATTCTAGTTGTCTTGTATTGCCCACTTTACCTCTACATGCTCGGCGTCCAATGGTGTTCACGATAGAGATCAAATTTCTGAATGGCGCAGTTAGTACTCGTCGACTGTTCCCGGCGATCTGTCTCAGCTGGTGTGTATTGTAATGCTTGCCTATTCCCACAGCGTAACAGCTAATTCCTTTTCGTCGCAGCATTCGCCCAGGAGAAACAACATTATCTTGTGACTTGCCGTCAGTCATCACGATCTCAACCTAAACGTGAAGCGGGATTTCCAGTTAGCAGACATAAAAAATTTAAATTCTCAATTTCATCCCCCTTACTAAGCAAAAATGGCGAACAAACGCACTTTCTGGGATTTCTCAGACATTTTGCCAAATGGTTGAAAAACAGCGCTGGAACAAAGAGGCTCTACTTCCTTCTGAAGTCCAGAGCCCGTTCTCATATTTGCCGAGACGGCATCATATAAAGTCAAACAACCCAGGTGTACCAGGTTCGTTGCAGATTTAAGATTGAAGATTGAAGCCGTATACGAACGCCACTTCAAGTCTTATCATATGGAGGCTACCCCTCTAAAAACGGCAAAATGGACTCGTTCGAACAGAGCAGTCTCCCTCAGCTGAAACGTTTTAATTTCCATTAGATGAAAAACTCGTCAAAATCCGACACCAATCTGCACGGCTAAAGGTGTCTTGGGAGAACTGGACATTGGACGAAAGCAAAATGGGCGGTAGCCACACAATGCTACTGTTGGTCCCTTACCCATCCGAACATCAATTTGGGTTCATTTGGCAAAATCAGACTGTCCAGACCAGTTTCTTACTTCTAACCTAAACAATGCTGTTATCTTTGGTCTTACATCTGTATATGTAACAGTCCTATTGAATGAAAAACTGGGCTATTTTGCCCGCGACCGGAGCTGATTTGTAATCTTGTTTAAGCTTCTGCTCGGGGTTACATATACATGCGTTATCAGACAGAGCGTAAGGTCAAGATGGCTACATATTAACCTAGTTATTTATTTACCTTTTTTATTTTCTACGTTTCTATGAACAAAGACGAATCTGAGTCCAAATAAAAAACGCCAAAAAGAGCGAGGCCAACATCCATCTTGCTTCAAAAAGCTTCGTCAATACAGACTTTCTCGTATGGCCAAAGCTAAAGCTGTTTTTCTTGCGAAACCAAAAGCGGTAATTCCGGAGCACGTAACCGTAAGATAGAAAAATCTGGCCCTTTCGAATAGCCAAACAGAACACAGGATTCGCTTTATCTTACCCATCGCGAAACCAGCCATATTGAAAATAGTATCTACAAGCCTTGAGGGCACTTATTTATCGATTATACAAAGTATTTACCTTACGAGCCCCCCTTCGAGCATATCGGAACAGCGTGCTGTAAGAATACCGCATTGCCCATCCTGTTTTAGTCCATCCTCTGGGATATGGTATGCGGTTGATTGCTGACAGCAGTTGCCTTTTACGGCGATTGTATTTGCTAAACCTGAACATGAGTCGAGGCCTTGTAGAATAAAGGACGACTCCTACACGAGTCCGGCCACTGTTGATTTTGAATTGCCTTACAACCCTTTGGACGAATCTCAGACATCGCTTAAAGTTTCCTTTGCCATAGTGCTCAATACTTCCAGAGCCATCAATAACAAAAGCCAAATCAACCATTGATCGGCAAACTAGGACCAACACAAACCTTTTGTTAGCGAAATTTTTTCACTTTGATTACTGACGCAACTGGCAAAGCAACCGACCGCTTGTTCGGTAGCAAAACCATTCCCGAGTATGTCAATTTGTCTAATGTCACATTGATCATCTAATGTCTCTCTTCTTTAGCTAGTGTTGTATTGATCAAAGTCAGGAATATTCCACCACGAGCCCTCCAAAGAACCCAACAAGTAGAAAAATTAGCCAAAGACGCATTTGGCAAGCAAATTGACGTGAAAAACAAATTGGCTTGTCCGGCCAGTAGTCAGTAGTAATTGTAATATCAGAAATAGCAGCATCAGTATCGAGAAAGCTTAAATAACGCATAACATATGAAAAAGTAAAAAGATATACCTGGCTTCTTTCCTCGTCTAGGTCGTGCTCCTGAAGATGAAACAAAAAAAGAGCTTTTAACATGGGAAATTAGATAATTTTCCTGTACCGAAAAGACATTAGGGCAGTCGATCTTACCTAGCAGAGTCGGCCCTTATTGTGGTTGCAAACGTTACTGTAAGATTACCTGTCGTTCATGAGCCCGGATCATTTCTTAGGAGTCTGATGGTACTCTCTAAGTTTCTAAGTTTTTCCCGTTTGCCTCTAGTCAATACGTTTCCCTTCTAGTATCTGGCCCAAAAAGGCCAGCAAAGCTGACAAAAACGGTGTTAAAAAGACGAGCACTATTGTTCCTGTTGGTAAATTACAGTTTTTTACAGTACAAGCATGGGTCATTATTCAGCGCAGTTTTGTTGCTTGGCATATACGGACACCAATACGATACAAATATATAAAGGCAGCGGCGATTAAACTGCGCTTAGCGATCCACGTGCGACGCTAATTCCAAGAACTTTATAAACCGCGCTTCACCAGGAATCACTGGATCAATGTGAAAGGGATTAAATAAAAAGAGTCATTTGCACCTCTACAAGCTCGTCGTCCAATTGTGTTCACGATGGATCCCAAATTTTTAAACGGTGCAGTTACCACACGGCGATTGTTTCCAGCGATTTGTCGCAGCTGATTGGTGTTGAAGTGCTTTCCGATTCCCACGGCGTAACATCTGACCCCCGCTCTACGGAGTCTTTGAGCGGGCCCAATCACACTGTCCTGAGACTTGCCATCAGTCATCGTTATGACAACCTAAAATACGATGATCAGATGATGATGATGCAGTTAGGATGATGTTTTAGGACCAAAACGCCATCATGTTTACTACAATTTTCTAGCGCAACATGTCCGGAATGCGGTATTTAATCGGTGGATTCGATGCGTATTTACTCAGCTACCCCTCCCCTAAGCCAATATTAACTTGTACTTCTCTCTTAGGGCAAAACTGTGACCTAGGGAATTGGTAGGTGGTCAGTTACCCAGAAACCTCAATTACTCCGATATGTTGACGTCAAAAACTGGAGAAAGGAAAGTGGGGAACTTTTGTGGCGTTAACGATTCCAAAAAAGTTTTAAAATACATCCAATTTATACCTTACGAACTCCTCTTCGGGCTTTTCTAAACAGCCGACTGTAGCAATACTTCAGGGCGTAACCGGTCCTGGTACCTCCCCTAGGGTACCTTATTCGTCTAATTATGGACAAAATAGACCTCTTTGAACGATATCGGAAGTCGGAGTAAACACGGGGACGTGACGAGTACACGATAAGTCCAACTCTGGTCTGGCCGCTGTTGAATTGCCTGACAACCATTTCGACAAATCGTAGACATCGTCTGAAGTTTCCTTTGCCGTAATACTCGATGCTTCCAGAGCCATCGATAACGAAGGCCAAGTCAACCTTTGATCTGCAAACTAAATAGAAAACAAAACCGTTACCAAATGTAGTTCGTTCTTCGTTGAAGAACTTCTTACCAGCAAACTCTCTACTGCTTCAAAAATAAGCAAATGATTAAGTAGATGACTCTACTACTTAATCATTTGCTTATTAAGTAGATGACTCTGGGAGACTGAGACTGAGCATGACTGAGTAAGGACGTGTGATTGTTAGCTCCGTAACTTTTGTTGCACTCTTCCATGCGTTCTGATATTTTTTATGGAATTTTCACCGCCACTTTCATCTCTGTTTAAACGGAAAACGAGAGGGAGTAATTCACCGACCAGCGAGACCATTTCCCCCGAAACGAAGCGGTTGAAAGAGAGTGTGAAAGAAGACCAAGCGAACGCTCCACCCGCCATTGTATCGCCACCAAAGTCGAAGAACGATTGTGAAGACGTAGTTCTGTCTGCCCTCAATATGGCACAAGATTTCGCCTCCAAAGTGGACCTAATATTATCAAAGTTAAGTCAACTGGAAAATATCGGCACACAAATAAATGTTTTACAGGACTCTGTGGATCGAATTAATCAAACGGTCGCAAACCTTCAAAGCGAATTCCACCGCTTAAAGGAAGACGTACGAAATACAGTCGAAGAAACAAATACGCTTAAAACAAGCGTAAAATTCCTGAATGATGAAGTGGAAACTAGCAAGAGAAAACTCCGAGATGACGAAGAGAAGTCACGACAGGAGTTGGATCACTTGCGTCTCCAACTCTTAAATTATGAAGTGTACAGCCGCCGCGAAAATCTTCGTTTCTACGGCATTCCAGAAATCGAAGGGGAAGAGAATACTGAACCCGTTTTGAAAGCTTTCTTGGAGAAAGAGTTAAATGTGGAAAACGCCCAATCTATTGAGTTCCAAAGAGTCCACCGCGTCGGTAAAAAGGACCGAAACACAAGAAAACCCAGGGCCATCATAGCACGCTGTCTTCGCTTTAAAGATCGAGAAAACCTCTTTTCTTGCCGACGCAACATCGATAGCCAGTCGAATTTCGGTATTGGCCCTGATCTACCTAAGCAGGTGATTGATATGAGGAAGAGGCTTATTCCGAAGATGGTACAAGCAAGAAAAGATGGAAAACGGGCAGCCTTCAGTAGAACGGAACCCTATAAACTCTTTATTGACGGTGGAGGTAAAATCATAAATAAATAGGTTCCAGGTTATTTATTTTTAGAATTCGCAGGAAGTAGTTCACTTCTTATTTTTTTCGTTTCTATTGGGAGCTATCGATTAGCATATTCCTTAGTTCCCTTCTGAAGTTCGATTTAAACAAAAGTATAACACTTGATCTCGTCCAGGCGTAGCTTCAACAGTTTAATTCTTTACACTGGCTACGCTTTTCATCTCGTTTCTTTTGTTTTGTTATGTATGTTATTCTATATTTATTCAGTTTGCACTTGACAAAATCAGGAATGCGTTAATTGTTCGAGTAACAGTGACCCTTCTGGGAATAACAGCTACTGTTGTTGTCTTTTTTCCACTACACGTATGCAAATTTCAATGGATTTCAACAACTTAAAGTTTAAAACTCTTTCGCTGAACGTTCGGGGTATCCGTTCTTTTGAAAAACGTAAGTCCATTTTCAACTGGCTATACAAGCAAAATTCAGACATCTGCTTTCTGCAGGAAACTTACAGCACTGAAGAGATTGAAAATCAATGGAAAAAGCAGTGGTCCGGGGACATTTACTTTGCTCATGGCTCTAACCATAGTCGTGGGGTCGCCATCCTTATACGCAAATCCTTTGACTTCAAATTGAAATCAATTCGATCGGATGAGGATGGGAGGTACCTCATTTTAGAGACAACTATTCAAGATGTTCCATTCCTTCTGATAAATATTTACGCTCCCAATACCACCACTAAGCAATCATTGTTCTTCCAAACATTGTCTGAGCTTATCTATGATGAGGGATACAATGATTTTGAGTACAAAATTATATTAGGAGGGGATTGGAACGTAACTATGGACCCAGACCTAGATTGTTCGGGTGGAAACCCTGTAACTCTTCCAGAATTTTACAAAGAATGCATTGTGGCGTGGACCCTTTTAAATGAAGACAACCCCTCCTCATCCTCTGAAATAGCAAATCAGGTCATATGGAACAACCAGTTCATTTGCATTGAATCAAAGTCAGTCTATAACAGTAGGCTGATTGATCTTGGAATTGTAAAAATTGGAGACCTCTACGACACGTGGGGAGGTTTCAAGTCGAACAAGGAACCATTGTATTCAACTCTTTCACCAGTTGAACATTTTCTACTTTTCAGTCTCTTCAATGCTTTTCCTGAAGAATGACGCAAAATATTAAAAACAAATAAAAACTCTATCTCTTCAAAAACTCATGATCTAATCCAAACTGATTTCAAGTTACGTATTGAAGGAAAAAAGTCAATTTCAAAATCTTAAATCAAAGTCATTATATGACAGTTTTGTTTCTAAGATATCCAGTATACCAACAGCGCAAAAGAAATATAACGAAACTTTCAGCACACACACATTTCAGTTGGACTGGGAAAAGATATATCTACTGCCCTTCAAAACAACATTGGATACTAAATTAAGAGAATTCCAATATAAAATATTAAACAGGATCTTATACACGAACAAGATGCTGTTTAAGTTCAAAAAAGTAGATTCTCCCTTGTGCGATTTTTGTGAAAAGGAGTTGGAGACCATAGAACATCTCTTTTTCCATTGTACAAAAGTAAGCATGTTTTGGAATGATTTAAAGTCTGTACTTGATTCTTTTAATATAACTATTAGGTTTGATATCATGAATGTCCTTTTTGGGATCTTAGATACAGATAATATAAGCATTCTAGTCAATTACATCATTCTTGAAAGCAAATATTTTATTTACCGCTGTAAGTTAAATAAGGGCTGTTTATGTGTAAGACTGTTAGTCGATAAATTTAAAAAAACGTTTCAAACCGAACGTCTTATCGCGAAAAGAAACAACAAAATCCATTTCCATGATAAAAAATGGAAGCCGTTACTCCCATTAATACAACAGTAGCTGTTATCCAAACTTCGTTTTTCTAATACTCCCTGTATTACTCTGTATTTTAAGTTCAAGTCGAATAAGTTATGTAAGCCTTGTAGTGTAGTGCAGTGTAGCTTTTTATTTATTTATTCTATTTTCTTTTTTTTTTTTTTTTTGTAATTAAGGTAGTTGTTGTAAATTTTGTAATGTTTGTATGTTTCGATCTGTATGTTGTTTGTACTATACCTGTAAAAAGAAAATAAAAAAAAGTAGATGACTCTAAAATGATGCTAGTCAACAAAACAGTCAAGGTGAAAAAAGATAAATGCATACTAAAAAGAAACAACCTGTTGCAACTGAACAATTGAAGGTCGTCAGATACGTTATGCAGATCGTAGATCAATGGATAGGTTTTCCACTTTAAGAGAAACATTTCTTCCAAAGTTGGTACGGGATAGCGGAAGACCCAGTTTATTTTCAGTATTCTTCAGTCGATAAGAAGTGATGTCGTCACGATCAATAGATCGATTTTGGCTTCCATATGCCCCACTCTCCGTTTAATTTCAGAGTTAACGCTTGAAAGGAATTAAAGAAATATTTAATACGTACCTTTCTTTCTTGGTCGTCTTGGTCTTGGTCTCGGTCTCGGTCGAGGCCTGGGTCGCGCACCTACAGGACATTGCGGGTGGAAGAAAATGTTAGTCATCAGAAAATGCGGATAATTGCACATTAACGACTATTCCCTTCTTCAGAAACTCTAGAGAGGATGGGTACAAGCTTTGGGTGCTGTGTTTTCTGGCATCTCTTGGATGGAAAAGCGTTAGGTATGATTACTTGATGGTATTCACGGTAACCATTAACCAATCATAAGTAACGCTTGTCCACCCAAACGATACAAGAAACCGTTGCGCAAGGTTTAAGATCAAGCCTCAAGTTATTTCGCCTTCTCTTCAATAGTTCAAGTCGAAAAACATAACTTTGAAGAACTTTTTTATCATTATCTACATCAGACCTTAAGTATTGCCCACTTTACCTCTGCATGCTCGCCGTCCAATGGTGTTCACGATGGAGATCAAATTTCTGAATGGCGCAGTTAGTACTCGTCGACGGTCCCCGGCGATCTGTCTCAGCTGGTGTGTATTGTAATGCTTGCCTATTCCCACAGCGTAACAGCTAATTCCTTTTCGTCGCAGCATTCGCCCAGGAGAAACAACATTATCCTGTGACTTGCCGTCAGTCATCACAATCTCAACCTATAACATAAGCCAAAATTTAATGAGGCAGAGACAGTTGCGAGAGAGCCCTAATAAGTAACAAAGTGCCAAGGGACAGGAAAATGTGATGGTCATTATAAAAGGATAAGTTATATCTGGGTTTTGTTACAAAAACTTTATTGTATCTGACTGTGGCGAAGAAATGTCTTTTGCTTTACCGAGGTATTCGTTACATCAATGATTCAATGATTTCAAAATCTTAGTTTATTGCCCCGCCTCCCCATTCGCATCCCTTCTTCCTCCCCTCCCCTCCCTTCCATCTCCCCTTCCTTCCCCTCCCCTCCCTTCTGAAATTAAGAAAGCTTTTTGCCAAGGTCCAATATTTTATTTAGTGTCTTTACCTTACGAGCCCCCCTTCGAGCAAATCGGAACAGCGTGCTGTAAGAATACCGCATTGCCCATCCTGTCTTAGTCAATCCCCTGGGGTATGGTATGCGGTTGATCGCTGACAGCAGTTGCCTTTTACGGCGATAGTATTTGCTAAATCTGAACATGAGTCGAGGCCTTGTAGAATACAGGACGACTCCGACACGAGTCCGGCCACTGTTGATTTTGAACTGCTTTACAACCCTTTGGACAAACCGCAGACATCGCTTGAAGTTTCCTCTGCCATAGTGCTCAATGCTTCCAGAACCATCAATAACGAAAGCCAAATCAACCATTGAACGACACACTAAGACGAAGATAAACACTTTGTTAGCATCTTTTTATTATGTTGCTTATGTACGTAGCTGGCGGGACAGCCGACTGCTTCTCCGGTAGCCAGTCAGCGCATTTATGCATCAACTCGTCCACAACTGTTAGTGACATACTAACCGAACGTCAGGTATATTTCAATACGACCGTGTTTCAAACAAGTGGGCGAGTTTATCAAAGAAGTAAGCGAATTGGCATGGAGGGTGAATTGACTTGTCAGGGCAGTAGTAGCAGTGATCACAGTTGAAGAAAAGCGGTCTTAGCATTGACGAAGGACTAGATCTTAATGTATAACAAATGAAAAACAGTTAAAATATATACCTGGTTTTCGTCCTCGCTTAGGTCGTCTCCCTAAAGACAAAACGCAACAGAACCTTTAACATGCGCCATTAAAGAATTCTAACGCACCGAAACATTAAAACAGCTAATCAGAATAATCAACGTCGGCGCTTATCCTGATTGCGTAAGTTACTGTCATAATAAAGTTAAATTTACTTAGTTAACAACGAGGAGCGCGGGCGTGGTCAGTGGTTTAACTCAAGCGTGGTCAGCCTTGCTTGCATCACCTCCATGTGCTCTGTCTAGGCGCTGGCTTTGCCAAAAGTGGAAGCCCCTCGACATCCCGGGCATCCACCTCCACTAAGCGACGCAGTTGTTAATTACTTGTCAATTATGCACTCGGTCCTTCTCTTCGGGATTCTAACAGTTCTCTCCAGTTCTCTCCTAGTTTCGTTAATAGTATATCTATCAAACACGCCGCAAGTGTGAGTGTAGATCCTCTGATAGGCTTGGCCAGCTTAAATTTAGCCGCTACGTAACTTAGGGTCATTTACAGAGAAAGCTAGTAACTGGATCAATGAGTTACTAAGTAAAACAATTCATTTGCACCTCTACAAGCTCGTCGTCCAATTGTGTTCACGATGGATCCCAAATTTTTAAACGGTGCAGTTACCACTCGGCGATTGTTTCCAGCGATTTGTCGCAGCTGATTGGTGTTGAAGTGCCTTCCGATTCCCACGGCGTAACATCTGACTCCCGCTCTACGGAGTCTTTGAGCGGGCCCAATCACACTGTCCTGTGACTTGCCATCAGTCATCGTTATAACAACCTAAAACATGATGATCAGATTCTTAGTTAAACCTGTCACTCATTGAGTGAATGATGGAATCTTGTCGGGTACCTAACTGTTGAGTCTGTGCATCAAATCATGCGATGTAAACATTTAAATGAAACCTCTTCAGCAGTAGTTTTACATACTATTCATTTAGTGTGTAGTTGTAACTTCTGATTGTTTGGTTGAAATCCTATGTTGTTACCATTCAAATGAAACTTCTTCAGCAGTACTTTCACACGCTACTATTTATTAAGAATGTTGTTCTAACTTTTGAGTCTGTGGATGAAATCCTATGGTGTGACCATTCAAATGAAACCTTTTGAACAGTACTTTCACAAGGTACAATTCATTTACTTGGTAGTTCCAACTATCAAATCTGTGGACGAAACCCTGTGATGACCATTGCCATTCAGGTGAAACTTCTTCAGTGGTACTTTCACATGATGCTTTTGTTTTTCACCACTTTGCAAATAAATGTAGTTTGGAAATTTCATGACGTTTTTAAGAGTAGAAGGGTTTATCGAACTTTCAAAATAATTGGCATGTTCCAAAAACGTTTTCCAAACATAGAGAACGCTTAATGGAAAGGACGCATTTTAAGCAAAAGTTGCCACGAGAGGTAATTTCAGCTTTCCTTTGCCAAGGGCCTGGGACAAGAAGTGGTGGGCAGGAAGAAGTATCAGCGGAGAAATGAGGAAAAGCACATTCTTTTTTTCTTAGCCTAATCGTCCTCCCAGTTAGAGAATAAGCATTCAAGTGAGCACAATTGTCGTCCACGGTTTTTCAACTTAAATAGCTGCATTATTATTTGTAAAAAATATTTTGTCTTGGGACCAAAAATGGGCATCACGTCTAGTACAGTATTCTAGTGCATGTTGGGAATGGGCATAGATTACTATCTAATTCACTGATGTCTAAAACCAGAGCAACATCATTTTATTGATAAAGCAGTTTACGTGTGTGGCAGCTTGAAAAAAAACCTTCGACAGTATGGGATCTTTCACGTCCCACAAGAATAAGCAGCGCGTTCTAATCAATTATATTACGACCTTGAGAGGTGGTTCTTCGTGGCAGACTTGCGCATAACCAATTACGCTAACCAGGCTGCGGTCAAGATATGGGTGGGGAGTATTCGCGGCGCTAAAGTTTCAACAAAATTATTTAAGAAGTATTACAATATACACCTAAAGTATACCTTACGAACTCCTCTTCGGGCTTTTCTAAACAGCCGACTGTAGCAATAATTCAGGGCGTAGCCGGTCCTGGTACCTCCCCTGGGGTACCTTATTCGTCTAATTATGGACACAACAGAGCTCTTTGAACGATATCGGAAGTCGGAGTAAAGCCGAGGACGTGACGAGTACACGATAAGTCCAACTCTGGTCTGGCCGCTGTTGAATTGCCTGACAACCATTTCGACAAATCGTAGACATCGTCTGAAGTTTCCTTTGCCGTAATACTCGATGCTTCCAGAGCCATCGATAACGAAGGCCAAGTCAACCTTTGATCGGCAAACTATAAAACAAAATCGTTACCAAATGTAGTTCGTTCTGCGTTAAAGAACTTCTTAACTGACAGCATACAAACAGAGGCAAGCGAATCTACCCAGAATGACAATATATGACTCTTCAAGGCCTTGTCCACAAAGTTCGTTTACTGTGAAACTCAGAAAACCGTGAACATCAGAAACATTTATGGTATGTTTTTGTGGTACAAAGAAAAAAAACAATCAGATCTGCCCTTGCTGCTTACAAATCAAGACACCTTTCTTACCCTAGTTAGTTGTTTATTATCTGTTTACCTTGAATCTGCACTTGGCTGGAATATTCAATGGAAAATAAGATTTCAAAGCTGATTGCGTGGCTTAAAAATAGTTAGAAATATTAACCTCGTTTCGGTCGACGACCACGTCCTCTTCGACCTCCTGAAAATAACAAATGAAAAAGAAAAGAGATCACAGTCCCTTGCCAGCGTGTTCGCTTACAGCAATTCTCGTAGAAATTTGTATATATTCAACTCAGATGGAGACTGTAATCAAGTTAACATTAGTTAATAACTGGCCCATTCTGCATAAGCCTCAGTCATGATTTCTTTACGCTTCCTTGTCTACTTTTGGTATCTTAACTTAAAAGTTCGTAACAATTCTGTAATTTCACTAAGAGGCAAGCAATTAAAAACCCAGTAGAATGCCCCTTCGCTACTATTAGTCAAAGGCGAAAAAGTTTCCGAACTACATGAAACTTGTACCTCTATAACAAACTAACACGTCGTTAATGAGGGCACTTAGCTCTATTCCTTTGGAGTTCGAATTAAGAAGGTTTGACTGTACGTACTGAATACTAATCAGTCAAAAGAACTGTATTGAACTAACTAGAATGCGACCATCTGTTCCTTGGCATTTTTTGTGGATACCCTGTTCGCGCGAAATACATTTTCTAGAGCGGTTGCACAAGATTGTTTATTACAATTATTAGAACCTTAGGTTAAAGTGCGACAAATAAATATTAATAACAAGAAACTTACTTCTTCTTCGTCTTCTTCGGCGTCGCCGTCGACCTACAAAGTTGTACAATTATAATGACAAGAAGTTTGTTAGAAAAAAAAAATGATAGTAGGACCATTCGAGAGACGGTAGAAGAGAGAGGTATACCTACCTCCATATCGAGGGATACGGATGCGGATGACACTGGGACCTCGTCTACGGCTATGACTTATCTGTCTGAACCAAGAGGGTCGGCGCCCAACGTAGCCCACACAAGCGAAACTTCCCCTGTAACCAAATCTTAAGTACCGAGTACTGATCCCAATTCGACGAAGAACAGAGAGGTAACGTTTAGCTCTGTAAACGGCCTCGTCTTGTACAGCAACCAGAACGATTCGTCTGTTGTGCAAACATTATAAAGCAATTAGTAGATTTCTAAATGATTGACCCATCTTGATAGTGTCACGTATTTACTAGCCAGCGAAACGAGGAGGGCAAGGGAAGAAGGTGTTATTCCCGTCCATCATCCATTGTGTTCCGCATTGACACACGAGTCTAGTTAAACTGGAGGGACACAAGTCCACTTATTTGCAGAAAGATAATAGGCTTGGTAGACTGTCTATGTGAATCTATTCGTTGTTTTCAGTTGTAATTGTGATTCTATCGCATCGTAGTTTTACATATTCAATAAGTTTAAAAGTCCTACAACATTTCCTTTTCTGACATTGCCATGACTACCAAGGACTATGAACGGATCCAATACAAGTCAAGGCACATGCACAGAGTCACCACGAAGCGAGAAAAATCCCTTACTTCAAAATTCAGGTTTTCCTTTATTCTCAAACAACCAGAGAGGAAAAGCTGTTTAAATATGACAATAAATTATCATGAGCGATGGTGTCCGCAATTCTCATTACAGTTCTCATTGTCAAAGCATATATGTTAAAGGAAGTTTGATGCTGATCACACTCTCGAATTGAAGTGGCAATGTCACGAGAATATAGCTATTTCAGGTTAATTCTGTGCTGAAGTCACTATTTAGTGCCTTCACTCATACACAGAATGCTTCTCTGGAGTTATGAAGAAGATATCAGGCAAATTTTACCAGGGAGCACTAGCCATTATAACTTTAAAACTAACTAACTTTAAAATTAACACTAAAACTTGAAACGTCGGCCCAACGTTTTCAAGTTTCAATCCATTTTCATTCCTGCCATCCGTTGTAACAGACAACAGGAAACAGTTTCAATGCCAAAATATAGTCTTAAATAACAAAACTGGACCATTATTTGTGCAATTGTACTGACGCGAATAAAAAGTTTTAGCTTGTTAAAAGAGAGCAAATAGTGTGACGTAGCCAATTTAAAGAGTTTTGAAAGCTTGTAACGTTTGAGACATCGCACAGTACCTACCCGCGTCTGATTCTTCTGATGAAATTGTAGAAACGTCGCGCGTGGTAGGTGGAACCGTGGGTATCAAAGTATCGACTGTGTTCAACCTGACCTATTTATAACGGGACAAAAACATTTTAAAAGAAAGCAGTCAATTCAAGTTTAAAAATATTTAACGAGGATGAGCTAAATTTTCCTCTGTAAAGTAATCTTATTTCACATAGTGAATTTCAAGGACTTTATGAAGAAATCAAGAACTTTTCAAGGACCTTAACCGAATTCAAGGATTTTTCAAGACGACTATTAAAATTCAAGACCTTTCCAAGATTGTACGAACCATGTCAACGCAACGTCTCCTTACAAGGAGTTTCTCTAATCAAGGTGGCACAGAACTGCTTCGCTTATAAATAGAGAAAGAGCCCAGAAGATCCTTCTGTTACAACAAACGACGCATCGCGATGTCTAGAGATTTTACGTGATACAAGGATTAGTCCCAAGCACAATCCGAAATAGAGAGAATCAGATTTCTCTCCCTTTTCGGGGTCCTAAACTCTTGATCACTGGCTTTGCGATTGTACTGGATTTTCCTCCATATAACGAACACTATGGTGTCTCGCAAACGCTTGCCAGTAAAAATGAACTAGTTCATTATGAGGTGGTGATAGCCAAAGGATAAGTAGGATCAATTTAAGTGTGGGGGAAACTGCCCACCTACCCCTCCCGTAAGCTAACATTAACACTTACTTCCCACTTTGGGCAAAATGGTGGCTTAGGGGAGGGGTAGGTGGGCAGTTTCCCAGAAACTGAAATTGCGATAAGTACCCCACCGGTAATTTGGGATCCATCAGCGCTAATCCTGTCCAAATTTGGTCCTTATGTTGCGGTGGTAACATTACGACTAAAACAACAATCTCAATCAACTTTTTTTTCTCGAGAAACGTTTTGCTAACAAACAAGGCGTTACCTGTTATACGATTGACAACAACAATGTCGAAACCTCGACGTTTACGAGAATAGTCTCGTCCGTTAACTTTGATATAGGCCCTGGCACGACCTGCCAACATCCTGCCGTATCTGCGGTCTTCAAAGCCTTCACTGCGAACAGATACCAATATCGATCCTGAAAAGAGACGGATTATCAAACTTTATGCAACCATTTACCATTATAATAAACTAAAATAAATTAAGACCTCTTAAATGGGGACACTTGGCTCTTTTCCTTTGGCGTTCATATCACGAAGGTTTGCCGGTATCTACCTAATACCAGTTACTTTTAAAAAGACCAAAACTATTGTGCAAATTAGAATGGAAATTGCCATATTTTAGGGTTTTTCGTGGATACGCGTATTCGTAAAATGCGTCTTCCATTAGACGAGTCCTAAATAAGACACAAACTATCCCGTATAAGCGGCACATTAAGACGCGACTTAGCAAAAACGCGTCTTATCGGAAGAACAGGTGTTAGGAGCCGTACAAAATAAAATTGTATCTAATGATCCTTCTCATGCACAAATTACTTCATGCGGTAGCATCCAATTCCACAATAACCTTTAACAAGAGAAACTTTCTGTATGAACATTCTACTTCAACTTTATGCACAAATTGTAACTAATAAAATTAAAAACAAGAAAACCTACGTGTTTGCCTTCTCCTTCTTCGTCTTCTTCGCCGTCTTCGTCGACCTACATCAGAGGTGTAAGAATGTACCTCACTTAAACAATTTCCCTTGATTAAGTGCTATTTGTTAGAATACAAAATCAAATGACAATTTAAAACGAGGTTAATTTCGAACTAATTAAAATTTTGCACAAATATGAGCAGGTAGGTGTCCATGAAACGTCGAACCTCACGTGTCTCAAATTTAATGCTAGTCATGGAGGAAAATCTGTTGTACCCGCTCAGTTACATTAAATTTGGCACCTGTGAATTTCGACGTTTAAAACAATTTGGGTTTTAAACATTTTAACTCGCTGTAATTAGTGAATACGTTTTAGAGGGAGGTGATCCCTGTAAAATAGGTAATACCCGAGTTCCAAAAACCCACGCTTTCAAAACCTTTCCTATGAAAATGTTTATTTCATTTTTTTTGAATGAGAACAGAAACTCTTTTCCATATCAAAGGCAATGCACTTACCCTCGTTTTAAAACGTGGGCTTGAGACAACTCGCAAATAAACTTTTACGTCTTCAGTGCGATTATTCAGTCGTCATGACGAACTAGAAACTGGATCATTCAAGTAAGTTTTTATCGAAAGTTAGATGATGTAGGGAGTATACCTACCTCCATATCGAGGGATACGGATGCGGATGACACTGGGACCTCGTCTACGTCTACGGCTTATCTGCCTGAACCAAGAGGGTCGGCGCCCAACGTAGCCTACACAAGCGAAACTACCCCTGTAGCCAAATCTTAAGTACCGTCTTTTGACGCCAAAGCGTCGGAGAACTGAGAGGTAACGTTTAGCCCTGTAAACAGCCTCGTCCTGAACAGCAACAAGCACAATTTTCCTGTGACGCAAATCAGCAAAGATTATCTATCAGTTAAAGTTTTCTGAATTGTTAACATGTTTTGATTGTTTCAGTATACATGCTACCATAATATGCTATAATTTTGAGTTGGTTCCTAGTCACTCTCAGGGTCTAAAGCAACAGGCACCAAAATTGTGCAACTTGTTTCGCAGCTCTTGCAACAAATCAGGTTGATACAATTTGCGTGAATATTGACTTCTGACCGGATAAAAATTACGCGGAAGTGACGTCATACAAGGGAGTTATGACACCAAAACAATTTTGCCTTGGGGCGGTAAAACGCGCAACATGAACAGATTTTGTTCTAAACATTAGACCTACTTTCTACTTTCCACAACAACTTTCGCAACCTTTAACAACCTGATTTGTTGCAAGGCAGGTTTGACTGGTGTGTGGTAAAACGCGCAAGCTCGCTATTCAACTCGTTTTGCAAAACAAGTTGCACGTTTTAAGGACCTTATAGACATCGCACTGTACTTACCCGGGTCTGATTCCTCTCATAAAATTGTAGAAACTACGCGCATGGGAAGAGGAACCGTGGGTATCGAAGTATCGCGAGTGTTCAACCCGACCTATTCGTAAGCAAATGAGAAGTGTTTTTAAAAAGCAGAAAATTTACCTCAAAAGCATATTTCTTTAATAGGGACAGAATTATCGAGTAGCTTTTGCGAACTAAATTAAAAGATAGAGAGCCTAAAGGATCCATCTGTTATAGTAAACCGAGTTGCGCCGTAAAGGATTAAAAGATGATCAGCTCCGCGCCCCTCTGCAATAAGAGTATCGCGTTCTCTCATTTTTACAGGAATCTACACTTCTGATCACTGGCTTTACGCTTGTACTGGTTTTTCCCTCCAAATAACGAAGATTACGCTGTCTAGTGAACGTTCGCCAGCAGAAGTGAGCTAGTCAACCATGAGTTGCTCCATGACCCAAAGGTCAGAGCTAGCCCCCGTCGACCCCACGCCCTCTCCAATTTGGAATCCTTTAGACCTTTAGATTCGCGAAGGAGAACGACTACGAGATTTGATTAAAAGGTTTTTCGCGTATTCTCAAAAAATAGACGCCCCGAAAAGTTTCATTGTACGTATTTCTTCACTAAGAAAACAGGGACCGCGGAGGGGGAGGGGCTGGTAGGGCTATATCCCTACCACTTTTATTGCTGGGATTTATTTTCTAGGGCTCCAGTTGACATAGAAAAAATTCCCGTGGAATTATTGGACTTTGCCCTATGGAAGAGTTGGGTGTTTGTATGTCCGAACGATTACAACCCGATTTGCTTGCAAGGATAATAAGATGTAAGGCCCAAAATGGAAGGAGCGATTTGACTTTTTCTTTGCTTTTCATCTTGGAGAGCACCTTTATTCCCACACCGATAATCTATCTAAGGATTTTCAGGGTACTAAGATGGCTGCTGTCATTGGACAACGCCTGCCAAAACTAACAAAGAAGTCGCTGACAAAATTTCGCACTGATGAAAGCTTGGCCCATTTCTATGCTGATGTTGCCTGCAAGAGTGAAGGCCTGCTTAGCGAACCAACGCTTCCAAGAAAACGACGCACTTTGGTCAGACTGGAGGTTGGTGCTGGTGCACCAAGCTATCCCCAAACTGCCAAAGATCACTTTAGAGGGGTCTATTATGAGGGTATTCATCTTATCGTCGGGCTATATATCACCGCGTTAATCAGGAAAGCTTCAGTTCCTACGCCCAGATGGAGACCCTCTTGGTTAAAGCTCATATTGGTGACGACGAGGCAGAGTTCAGGTTCGTGATGAGTCATACAGCGAAGATGTTGATACAGGGGCGCTACCTGAGCAACTAAGTATTTTGGAAGTTATGTTAAAGGAGGAGAAGATATCATGTTTTAACGAAATCCTGTTGGCGGTGTTAAAGTTTCCAGAACCAGAAAAGAGGCTAATTCAGGAAGTCCAAACTATCTGTAAGCTGCTTGCTGTAAATCCTGTTACCAGTGCTGCTGGCGAGCGTTCACTCTCATCTGCACGGCGTCTGAAGACGTCGCTTTGATCCAAGATGCGTGACGAAAGGTTTAGCAACTTAGCAGTGTTGCCGGAATGGTCACAAGCGGAGAACAGACAGTGTCTCTATAGCTGACGTCGCACAGGAGTTTGCTTCCCGCAATGAAAACCTCAACAGAAACTTCAGCATTGCGGACAACTTCAAAAAGTAGCAATCTTAGGAAGGTTTATTTAACATATTGGCTATACTGGACACTATAACAAGTGACGACGTTTATGTTATATTTGCTGAGGTTGTAAATAAGATGGCGCGCAAATGCAAGATAAATGGCGAAACACTGAACTTAATGCTTCTTTGTACTGGCCAGATTTTTTAGCCCCACCACTTTAAAATGGTCTCCGCGGTCCCTGGAACAGTTCGCATTTTTATCTTTATTGAGGAGGTTTTAAAAGCCATCTTCCGATCGCAAAATGCTAAAACTTCTATCATTTGACTGTGACTTGTTTCCGCCGCCAATACGTTCTCGCTAAAACTCTAAGAAGAATGACGACAGCTACCACGTTTTCCCACCAAAATGACGCTGGTTCACGCGCGAGCACTACTTAGTTAGTATTGAGAAAAAATCGTACTCCTTGTCGTACTCGTCTTAGAATCTAAAGGTGTCTAATAACTAGTAGTCTGACTGACGACAACTATGACGTTTTCCCGCCTAAATGACGCTGGTTCATACACGAGCACCACGAAGTATTCAGAAAATGTCGTGCTCGTGGTCGTCCTCGACTTAGAATCTACAAAAGGTCTCTAATGACATTACGAATACAGATCACTTCCAAGTCAATAGTTTGGCAAACAAATAAGAGTATAATCTCACCTGTCCTGCGATTGACAATCACAACGTCGAAACCTCGACGCTTACGAGAATATTCCCTTCCGTTAACCTTAATATAGGCCCGGGCGCGACCTGCCAACATCCTGCCGTATCTCCGGTCTTCAAAGCCTTCACTGCGAACAGTTATCAATATATATCCTGAAAGAGGCGATTGTGAAATAAGCTTACAGTTCAAACACTCCTTACCGAACCCTCCTCTATACCGACGAACCCTGAAGACTATATTATTGCGGGCGACAAGAGGGGCCCGCAATCCTAATCTCCAGGATGATATTACGCATGCGTGCATGTATGTAGCCAACATTCGTTTGGACTTCCACTAAGAATGAATGGAATGCACAGAATGCAATTTGATCACGCGCGTTTGGACCTTCTATCGCTCATAATGTGATCACGCCTGTTTTGACTATCTGTCACGTGAAACTTACGCAAACCTCAGCGATGGAGCAAAAGCGTTTTGACCTTCGATCGTTGTCGCCCGCACTCCGTAACTTTTGGTTATAATTAGTTTAGTTAATAAGTTGCCAGACATCAAATTCGACTGCTAAATGAACTGACAACTATGAGATGAGGAAACCCCTGAACTGTCCGTATTGCGTCATCGTATTAGAAACATTTGAATTTTTTTTTTTCGGATACAAGCCAGTTAAAAAAAAAAGCAAACAGGAGTTAGGAAAACTAGAGATCTTTTTCGACTCCGTTCATGAACAAATAGAAAAACGTATTATGCTATTGTCAGATTTATCTAACCATGGGGGAGAAGTGGAAACTAGAGTTCGACTTTTTAAGATCGCATCCGCTATTAACATAGCTGTTAATGACTAAAAAAATAACTAATAGTGTACGCAAACATCATGTAAAAACTTCAGCAAATTAATATTAATAAAACAAAACCTACGTCTTTGTCTTCTCCTTCTTCGTCTTCTTCGACGTCGTCGCCTTCGGCGTCGTCGTCGACCTAGAAAGTCATGCAAATATTATGATAAAATTCCAAAGCACATGAGCGTCTCTATGCTTCAAGCCATGCCATTTTTGGGTCAATGCAGACAAGGGACAAAAAATATAAATTGAGCTGGAGGATAGTGTGATTTCAGAGAGCATTGAGCGTCTTAAGTCTAGTATAAATACGGTACAAAAGACAGAGCATTTAACGTCTATCGACATTATCGTCTTCTGCAGGGCCCGGTTCCTGAAAGGTCTATTAGCGTTAATCCAGGAATCAAATTTTGTTCCGTTTTTGTATTTTACATTCACATGCATTGCTTAGGGTACATTTTGTGTTATCATTACTGTTAACTAAACAGGTCAACAGTTTTTTGAACCTCACTTGTAACAGACTGGAAAACCGTTTAAATTTGGCTTAATCCTGAGGATAAACCCATCTTTCGAACTGGGCCCTGTTTTTAATGCGTCCAGTCGTCCAGACGACGACAACGGAAAATGACTGGGAAGGGTCAGTGTTGTAATTTTTTTTTTTTTTTTCAACAGAAAACTTTGTTTTTACAAAGCTATCGTCTACTTTTAACGTTTTTAAACAAGTCCACTTTAACGTCTCAAGTCGAATTTCCCGTTTCAGCATTAAAATGGCCAGTGTTAATTGTTTTTGTGACTTGAGGGACACTGAATACTTGAGAGAGGACGCTCAGATAGTAAAAGACTGAGAGCAGTATTTCAGCCAGGGTCATCTTTTTATGAGAGTAATATAAGAATAGCAACAAACTAAAAGAGGATTTCTTCAGCTATAACCGTCTGATTAATTCTCAAGGCAGTTCACCGACAAAGAAACGATACTTTGCATGTGTTGCCACTTTATTTTTACCTATAAAAATCTGACCAAGTTAATTCAGATCGTAAGGCCCTGTTTATACGAAGAAAAGTTGTCCTGAGAAAGATTGACCCCTTTAAATTGCCCGAGCCAACAGCGCTCAAGAATGTTCCGATTGTCTAAACCAACGCTCGCACAAGCTTTTATTAATAGAGAACTTCAGTTTCGCGGACGAGGACGAGGACGACATTTAGCTTTAGGTTTTTTCGCGTATTCTCTAAAAATAAGACACTCCGGAAAGTTTCATTGTGCTCACCCCCAAAATTAATAAGAAGGTTAAGCCCACTCCATATCGCTAAATGATAAAAGTTCTAACATTTGATAACCTGTTTTCGCCACTACGACATTTTCGCTAAAGGCTGTCACGTTTTCCCCGCCAAAATGACGTCGGTTCAGGAGCGAGCACTACTTAGTATTGAGAAAATCTCGTCGTCGTAGTCGTCCTCGTCTTAGAATCTAAAGTTCTCTATTGTCTCGCCTAGACCAAGTTGACCCGTCTGGGCGAGCCAAAGTGTTTTTATGGAGAAAAACGGTCCCGGATAGTAGGGAAAACCTGCCATCAAGAAAGGGTGACCCGCTAGCCGAGCCAACGTTTCGTTTGTAAACGGCTCGCTATGTTTCGTAAGAGAATTTATTATATGTTGGCTCAGTTTCCCAGGGTAGCTCAGGTAGGCGAGTGACCTTTCTACAAGGGACAACTTTTCTCCGTATAAACGGGAAATGTAAAGAAATCGGTGATTTTATAATATATTCTTACGTCTCTGTCTTCTCCTCTTTCGCCGTCTCCTTCTTCGTTGCCTTCGCCTAATTCGCCTTCTTTTCTTTCGATATCGTCGGCGTCGGTATCTTCGTCTTCGCCAACCTTATTACAAAAAATGGAAAAAAAAAACAAGAGCAACTGAAACCATACGCACACCGGTTCAAAGACAAGGAAAACTTGTCGCCAAGCGCTGGAGAATTTGCATCCAGTGCCTAGTGCAAGAAGAGTTGCATTCAGTGCCCAGCGCGGGAAAAGTAGCATCCAGTGTCTAGCGCACGAAAATTTACATCCGTCGCCAAGCGCAGTAATGACTACATCTGTCGCTAAGACTGAAAAAAGCTGCATCCTTCGCCGAGAGCGGGAAAATTTGCATCCGGTGCTAAGCGTGGGAAAAGTTGCATCAGGGGCTAAGCACGGGGGTACCAAGGACAGGGAGTGGCTTAAGGCTTGTAGGCCTGCTTCGCATAAAGAGATTTCAGCAGCAAAGATAAGTATTTATAGTATGAATGATACATACGTCTTCTGCCCTTTCTTTTGCGCATACGTCGGCCACGACGACGACGACCTTGGTCTACCTACAAAAAATGTTGACAACGTGTTGAGTTTACTTTTTCAAAGGATCATCCGAGGTGAACTCCTTATAACAACCACTTCTGGTTTCTCATAATTCCTCATTACCTTCACGTCTTTACCCATTTCATTTCATTGTTTCTGAAACCTTCTGTTCTGGTACATTAGACGATATGATATCTTAAAATCTCGTGTAAACAGTAAGTGATATTGAAAATGTGAAGTTTCGCCACAATTTAAGGGAATCCAAGACAGTCTTAAATTCTGGACTCCACGCAGTGGATTTCGGAAGTTCCAGTTGCTGGATTCCGGATAATTTGTCAGAGAAACTTGGATCCCGGATTGCAATCCTTAGTCAGATTTCAGATTCCTACGCTGTATTCCGGGTTCCACAAGCAAGAGTTTTAGGGATTCCGTAATCCGCATTCCCTTACATGGGGCGAAAAAATAAGTGCGAAATAAGTCACTTACGTTTATATCCTCGGCGCCATCTTAGCCATCGGCCTCGCCACCTGAGCTTAAACCGATTTCTTCGCCTCTTAACGGTGACTGATCGACCTCTGTATGATATGCGCCAAGTAAAACGGGACCTGATTTTAACCCAACGTTTTCCCACTAAAATGAAATACCGTTTCCCGAGCCGCTTGAGTCTCCGCCATTTGCGGTAGAAACGTATTCGCCAAGTCTTGTATGATCTTCTCAGGCGATACAACTTGCGTTTAAATCTCAAGTACCAATGTCTTCTCAGATTTATAACTCGACGCCATCTCCTTGCATGATAGACGTACCACCGACCGCGAATTCGCCGCAAATAGCTCCAGTGGTTTATTACGTAGATCTGATAGCGCCCAGTTCGACGGACACGACACCAGCGTTTACGGTAAAACACGCGCCATCGTCGCTTCCAACGTCGTAGCTTGCGGTAACGGCCTTTGAAATAGACTCTTCGACGGCGCAAGCCTGTTAAGGTAATAATAATAATAAACAGTTAATTCACAGACAATATCCGCGTTTCATTTTGAAAGACTCGCGTCGCGTCAGTCAACAGAGAGACGGTTGTCCGTTATTATTGGAACTTACTGGAACTGGCGTAACAGATCCGCTGAAGTAAGAACTGGAAATTTAGGGAGAAAGCGATTAAGTACGGTCCGGCCTGCAAGCCAAAGAGAAAGCATTCGAAGCTTCTTTCCTACTGAGCTTGTCCGCTCTCTTCAGTCTCCTGAGTCAGCCCGTTCAGCTTGCCACCTCGACTGATAAAAGGATGGCTAAAAGTCGACATTTTTTAAATTAGGCCAGTCCAAATAAATCATACAAGCGACCTGCGTAAGCTATATGAAGATCTAATATGGACATCGTTCTTGGTGCAGTGCTACTTTTTGCTAAACAGCTCGTTAAAGATATACCAAAAGAGCAATCAATTGAGCATACTGCCAGAAGTATTAACGATAGCTTTAGAAAAACGTTGGACTGTTTTGTCTTGGCCAATAAGTGATACGCAAGGCAAGTCACATGAAACATTTACTAGTCATTAAATAGAAGTTCTCGCAAATCTTATTTACCTCTCAACCTTCGCAGTCTTCTTCTCCTCCGGGCTGTAAATTTTAAAAAAGGATTGATGAGGGTTTATCTCATGACAGAAAGGAGACTGGGGATAGGATGGGGAACTGTTTTTTGTTGTTGTTGTTTTGTTTTGTGTTTTTTTTTCGCTTGTCTGTTTTTCTCAAGCCAACCTAAAGTGTCTAGTCTATACCCCGGGTACCTGAGGGTTTCTTTCTCGCGTACGGCAGGATGCTTCAGTGTCGGTCGATCTTCTACCGAAGGCCGAAACTACGAGCAGCGAAGCTGCGGGTCACTATTAAGATTTCACTTAAATCGGAAACCGCGCACTGACCATTTTCACCGAGACCATAATTCGCCTTGTTTATCCCCCCAAAATTTTACATAACCACTCTCTTCAATTTCTCTTGAAACGACTGTGATACCCAGGAGAAATTACAAACAATGGTTATGTAAAATTTTGGGGGGTAAACAAGGTGCATTATAGTCTCGATGAAAATGGTGAATTCAAAGTCTCTGGTTCCCAGGGCACTCTAAGGTCTGAAAGGAGACTAGGGGTAGGGAGGGGTGGGGAAGCTGCTCTAAAAGGTCTGATCTGTATGATTTTATTATTTTTACTTCTCAGTCCTTACTAGTTATTTTTATTTTTTTGTTGAGGGGGTGGGGGAGGTGTTGTTTATTGTCGACAGAAAATGCTAATTAATTCAAGTTCCTATCCTACTCACCGCGGATGGTTATGCACACGTTAACCAAGTTGACGTGCTTTCGCCAATCTGTAGGAAGGTACAACAAAAAGAATATAAGATAAATGTCCAATAACAGTGTACAACTTCATTTCGCTACAAATATGTCTACAGCGCAAACTTCTGGGAGCACACATATCCGGCAGAAATGAAAGAAAACATCTTACAATTTAAGCGCTTGTACGATCACTAACTTGGATTCAACTAGGGTGTTCTAACACAGATTGAAATAAACTTACTTTTGCCGAAGCAGATATGGCCTAAACGAGGTCTCCGCCCGACTCCTGAAAGATGGAAAAATAAAGAGAGTTTAAAAGCAAATTTTTCAGTAATGCATAAAGTTTATTTAAGTTCAGTTCGCAAACGGTGCTACCCTAAAACGACAAAAATAAGCATCGGCATCCAACCTGGCCTTTACTGGTATTCTTACCGGTAATACGAATATTTCCATAGCGGGTGCTGATTTTAAATCGCTTGCTGGAAGCTAAAGAAAAAATAACACACATTAAGTAGTTTTTACTTTCAGTTTAGTCCACTGAAATCAAGCAGAATTATCAATCTAATTACTCTCTCCCAAACTTAGATTAGCCTAGAGACTGATTGTGTCACCCGTGAAAGACCCACAGAACATGCTCTGCTCATTCGCAGTATAAAAAACAGTCATTATGCCGCACACACAGGCTCGTTCCCAAATGCGGCGTTACCCGTGTCCAGCGGAGGGACAACGGGGAGGTCCCCCGCTGGCGACACCGTCAAGAAAATTATAAAATAAAATAAAAAACAGGGGCGCTGGTTGAACGATAAAAACATCTGACCGAGCAAAAAAAGTTACGGAACGCTATCCAATGCTCTACTTCCTTTGCATAATTCACAGTTATTGAAAATGTCTCTTTGTTTCGCTATTTGTAGTCTTCTATCTCTTTGTAGTACGCCGCCGTACTCTGTTTTCTCACACAACGCTGCTAGGAGCGAGTGACGACACAAAACGACTGCACAAAAGATCATGCTAGGCGCAAAAACATTTACGTCTTTCTTTCTTTTCTTGCTACTTCCCTTAAACAATTTTGTAGTAGCAACCCAGCACCTAGCCTGGGTGCAGACGATTACCTACCCTCCCCCCCCTCCCTATCCCGTTCCCCACAGGTGTTCCCTTAAGAGAGAAACCTACTTGCACTGTTATGAAAAATTATTTAGATTCTATGTTCCTCAAGTCTGGCTGTTCAAAACCTCCACCAACTTTAATAAAATCTCGGTGGAGGTTCAAAGATTACCTGCATCAGCATTGGTGGTGTTTGTCACTGTGGAAAGGTCCTTTGTTACTGAATCTGAAAACAAATTCAAATCAACAGAAACACTTTGGTGACTGATATACGTACAATTCCTTAACTGTTGTTGCGGGCGATTAGAGGAGCCCGCAGTCCTAATCTCCGGGTTGCTACGCAAAGCACAGCATTGGAGCCAAAAGAAACGACCGGCACTGGGGCCGAGAACTGCTCCAGACTAGCAGAGGGGATAGAGGATGATAGATTTTTATGTCAATCGCCGGCTCACCTTTGTTTTGTTGCACTGCATTCTTGATGGTTGGTCCATGTTGTTCAGCAGCGTCTTTTGGTAAAGTTCTTTTAACACGAACTGTCTGTTGACTTGCTAAGTCAGATTTTTCCTCATCGGAATGATGCGATGAGCGAATATCACTCGTGACAATAACAACTCCATACCTGAAACATTGAAATATAACATTATCACTTGGAACACAACCCCGGGGCGTGTACTCTCTTATATAAGCCGCATAGGTATGTGCCTCCACAAAGGGTAGGGTTTTTGCGCCGTTTTGGTCTGAAAACGGGTGTAGACTTTGCCTATTTTGATCTGGAATCGGGTATGGTTTTCGAGGAAATTACGGGAATGTATGAACGTATCTTTCGTTTCAATTTCAAATGAATAAGAAAGAAAGAGAAATATGTCATTGTGATTCGAAATGGATTTTAAGAAATCTTGTTTGTTGGCGGTCAATCTAAGCTATGATGACATAATTTCTCAGAGGCAGGTCTGAAAACGGGTATGGATTTAAAAACGGTTGTGAAAAATGACATTTTTCGGTCTGAAAGAGGGTCAGGATTTGGAGACCGAGCGGCACAGCCCCACCAAGCATTCCTGGGAGTACCCCCCCCCCCGGAACACAACTAATCAACCCTTTCAATAAAATGGGCAAAGTAAAAATTCTCACAAAAAATGCAGATTTATTTTTGTATAATCCTAACAAAGGATCCGCACAGCCGGTTAGCGCGCAGACTTCTGTGCCGGAGGTTCCGAGTTCGGTTCCAAATGTAACCTCAAATCGTTGTTTCGATATCTATTCTTTCCGTGTAGCTCTAAATCGTTTTATATCGGTATATTCGTTAAACGGAGTTCTGATGAAGAGGGGGTAGGGATGAGGCTCAGTTTTGTCAGTCAAAATAAGGACCTTTACCTTTAAATAGGATTTCATCCACAGATTTGAAAATAAAATTGAAAATTAATCAAGGCATAACTTGGTCTAGAGTTACACACAAAAAGGAAAGAAAAGATGTACTTTCCCGGCCTTAACTCTAGAATAAAACGATACACGTTTAGAAAACAAAGAGATAATACAAACAGGCTAGTGTAAATAGGTGCGTTTCCTTGAAAACGAAGAGAAAGCAATAAGCTTGCAGGAGAATGAACACTTGGCAAGCAAGAGACTGGCACTTACGGGTGGTTGCGTCACTGTTCACACATAGAGGGTCGGAGGAATGTTCGCCAATTATCGAAACCAATGGACATCACCTAAGCAATCACTAGTATAGCAAAATGTTTCTATCCGCGTAAGGAACCCGCCCATGTATGTCGAGTGGCGGAAAAGGTTGCGCAATGTTTGTACTAATTCATGATCGATAATTTAGAGGAAGACATTTTTCCCCGAGGGATCACTCCCTCCAGACCAACCCGGCATATTCCGAATTTTGTTCAACTATTTGATCAAGGTCCCTGCCTTGTCGTCAAAAGAAAGTCGCATTAGTTAGGGCTAAACAGTCAATTTGTTGAACTCTGCAGTTGCACAGTTCCTGTTCTTTCTTACAACATTTCAAATGATCTAGAAATCAGTGAACGTTGGAACCATTTATAAAACGAATTTAACACTTCAAGACATAAGAAGACGTAATTGAACGAAAGCAAGATTTCAATCAACAAAATTAGTAATATAATGTTGATGGAAATCAATCAGTGGCCCTATACGATTGTAGATGTATGGTAAATAATTATGCGTCGGTTACAAGTAATCTATTGTCTACAGCATCTCTATGGATTGTCTCACCCGCCAGCTATTGAGAAATCTTACGACGACTAACCACCGGCTGTCTTGTTGATATGTAAGTTAGGGTACCAGCGTTAAGTTTATACTTCATTGCAAATCAACCGTCCCCTTTTTAAATTTCGTTATCACTTGGCGTTCTCAATTATTCCGACCTTGTCCATTAAAAGCCCCTCTTGACTCGAACACGATTAATTTCGAAAATGCCCAGGAAAAAATAAATATTGCCCTAAGTCAGGAGTATTATAGTAATGTTCTATATCTGCTTCTCAAACCACTATGTATTCTTTTATGATAACAAGCATGTTTTACTCATACAAAGTAAAACAAATGTATATGAAATATGGCGCTAGGGCCAATAGAAAAGTAGCATGTGTTTTAACTGAACTCCTTCAAAAGTATAAACATATAAAGAGGTCACTAAAGACTTGTTAAATCATTAGAACTTCTCCTAAGTGACGAATAAACCCGGAGAGACTTTCATTTCTTCTTTGATTGACTTTTGAAACCGTTAAACAGCATACAATGGCCATTAAAAGGAATTTGTTATTAAAACAACTGGCCATATACAAAAAACACCAGTAAAGACCTAAGGCCTAACAAAAGTCAAGAGTAAATTCTTTATAAAATTGAACGATATAGAATTTGTGCCAAGAAGGTTAGTTTAAAACTTGTTTTATTCATATTCTATTTAAGAACCAAATGCAAAAAGGGATTACCGACTTGAATTTCCGTCAATCGTGTAACCCTCCATTAAGCTACATGTGAGAGAAAAAGTGAATCCGAAAGAAATAAAATCCAAAATTATTCGTACGCAAATTTCGTAAAGACTCGTTCACTATTCTAAAACTTATCCGAAATTGATCGCATTTCACTTTTTCTTTATCGCTTTTTTTTTTCTTTCGTATTATTTCTGATATATTACTATTTTTATTGCTACACTTTTAACACCTTGACCAAAAACGACACTCTTTTAAAACGGTCACGCGACCACTTTAAAACCTGAAATATCCGTTTTTATTTGGGCGTCGAGTGAGCAAACTTTTAGAAACGCCTTCCAGTCTAACGCGGAGACAGACAAGCTATTGGATCCACGATTGTTCAAGACTTTCTACCCAAGCTCTCCCCCATTTCGAGTCGAAATAATAGCTAGTCCTTCCTCAAAGTGATCACAGCCATTGAACAATTTTCAAAGATCACTTGGTCAACTCCAAACATATCAAACGATCTAGCAGAGTTTGATCACCAAATGATACCTTTGGATAGTGATTTCTGACAGACAAAAAGCCGTTGAACTTGACCTGTTCAGTCTTAAAAACGCCGCTGTGTTTCTAACAACGTAAGCTAAAATATCTAAATATTCTTTGGCACTTGCACAGTCTGAAAGAACAGTATTACATAACTAACTAAAAAAGAATAGTGCATTAAGGTACGTACGGGCAAAAGAAATTTTTACCTAAAACACAACGAAAGGATTACTAACAAAATCGACCATTAAAAAGTAAAAGATAAAAGCAAAAATAATACGTTTTATGCGTCTTATACTCACAGGAGCAGAAAGATGACCCTCATGCCGGGGTCGCCCCAAACTATGGACGATTACCCTTACCCATGAAGGGAATTCCTGACAAAGGGCAAAATGGTTTCGACTTTGCCTTAATACTAACAGACATTCCTATACATTTATTCATCATTGACTTCAATGTTTGTTTGCAAAATTAGACCAATACTCGGGAGGCCTACAAGAAAAACACTTTCTAAAAACCTGTTATTTTATTTTGGTTTTCCTAAAAACTCCTGCCTTCTACTTGGAAGTGTCATGAGGCGCCCAGGGTTTCTGTTGAAAACGGGTTCGTACAATTTTCGCAACGAATATTCCGAATTTTTTCGACGCTTTGCAGAAATTGTGATACTCACTGTACGGGATTTCCATTGCATAAGATCTATCATTGAAAAACTATGATATAATACCTGTTTAACTTTGACAGTACGGTTATTAATTGATAGTGAAATGACTTTCACGACCAAATTAACCCCAAATGTAAATATAAGAATTTTGATCTTGAGGGCAATGTAATATTCGAGAGTTAAACCATGTTTTACAAAAATGACACACCTTCATTTAATGAGACACTCCCAAAAGAATGGTCCGTGTATCATAAACCCTGTAGTGATATTTGGCAAAAGAAGTGGTTTCTTTGATAAGAAGAAAATTAAAATATTTACAAACTAACCATCGACTTAAAAAAATTACCTGTTTCACTATGAACCACAGCGCACTGAGCAAGACACAATTTGACACAAAGACAACTGTTTTTCCTAACGGGTAACAAAGAAAACATTTCCCAGAAAGCAAAATAGTGTCCATGATGTAGATGTAGGGATTTGTATAAGGTTTGTCATCTTAAGAACATGCATGAACTTTCCACTGCACTGACAAGTAGGATGGTCTTGGGAAAAACTGTTTCATACTTGGCCTACATTTGTAAAAACTGGCATCAAACTCGGGGACAGATACTAAATTTTACGTATTCAAGTAACATAACTTGTTTCCAGAATTTCACCATTCATTCAGTATTTCTTGCTTATTTGTTTAAATTAGGATTACGCGAAGCAACTTTTTTTTTTTCAATTTAGTTTGATGGATCACAATTCTCTGCAGATTACAAGTAGATACAAATTCGAAACGAGGTCTCTCCACATTCTAGAACAAAACACAAGTCGACATTTACAACATAGGATAATTGATTTGCTTTTCTTACTTTTCTTTCCGGGTTTTTTTGTTTTGTTGGATACGCGAGAAAGACACTTTTGTTAGACTAAAACTATAAACTTGCGATAAAAAATAAAACTTTTTTGTACATTTTGTCACAAAAATAGCACCTTCTACATGAAGCTCTCTCCCTTAGTTTTATTCATGTTTTATTTTATTCACGCCTTATTTATCATGGACAGCTCAGAAAATGCAATACTCAGCTTAAATTTAAAATTGGAAGATGTCGTCCTTCATTTCACCTTAAGAAGTAGCCAGGAATAAGCTTGTTGTCAGAAGGTAATATTAACGAGATAACATAGACATTGAGATCAACTAACAGATAACGGATGACTGTAGGGAGACTCTTCAACTATCAGAAAAATGGCGAAATAACCTTTCTTGGATCTTGGGGCGCTTACTAAAAGTCAGAATTGACCGGTAGGATCAGCAGTCATTACGAAAACAAAGTATTGATCAGTGTTTTCTCGAAAGTTTGCCTAAAACCCAAAACTTCCCCGCATACCATTTAACAATACAGTCAACTCTCTCCTAATGGACACCTCTATAAGACGACCCTCTCGGAAACGGACACCTGGTGTCGGTCCCTGCCGTTTTCCAGTCGTTTTACTGTAACTGTAGTCTCTATAAGACGGCCACCTCTCTAGGGCGGACAACGGGCACATATGAAACCTTCAACGGACACTTATGAAGTTTATTTTATATTTATGTAGTACGAAATACCTCCAAACGGAAATTTAGGCCTCTACATAACAGTAAACTACAACTAGGTAAAGCAAATTACAAAACCAAATACAGTACGTCCCCCAACCTAGTTCCCAGGGTCCTCTCCTACTAAGCTGGCCGAGTAGAAGAAGACCCTGGGAACGAGGTTGTTCTTCTCCTACAGCTTGTATCTTGAATCCATTATTGACATTTCTAAACACCACGTGGAGAGAAACAAAAACACTTTCCTATTACATTCTTCCAGGGTTTACTGTTTTGCACAAGTAAAACAGATGTGTATTCATTGCGAATAGGTTCAACCGGACACCTCTCTAAGATGGACAGTCGGGATCGGTTCCAAAAGTGTCCATCTTTGAGATAGCTGAATGTAAACTGACCTGACTGGATAGTCATGATTAATAATGGAATGCTCTTTTCAACTGGATTGGTCTGGTCGACCAGTTCTAACAAATGGAAAGTACCCTTAGTTTCTTTTTGGCATTTTTCAAACAGGACCTCTGTTAATTAAAAGAATGTTATAAAACGAAATCCCAGAATGAATCTTACAATGTAATGTATTACCACCCAGATGTCTCTCTCTCTCGATGAAAATTTGCATGCAAAGGAAGGTGGGAAGGAGAAAATGGGCTTCTCATGCTTTCATAGACTCTAAGTCATAATTCTAATGGTCTGTTTCAGGGCTCGAAAAACATCCTGTTCGGTAGCAAGGATGCAGCCTGATGGGCGCCCAGTCACCAGAGGCTCCTACAATTTGCTCGCAGGCTGGTGACTACAATTTAAAACAAGGAGCCCACACGGGTGCCTAAAACTTAATATGATTTTTATGACAATAGCCTCTACGCCTATCTCCAATGAAGGAACAACAGAATTTCCTGCTCATTTTGCGCTTTCGAAACGAAAACGTAAAACATGTGTTCATCGACCATAGGCAAAAAATTTCCGCTGATAAAAGTAAACAAACAAGCACTTTTCTGGAAATTATTCAAAACTCTGACAAACCGAGTTTCGAGACACGTGAAGTAGGTTTTCGAGCATCCGCTTACTTATTTAAGTTTATTGATCAATGGGCTCCAAGAAGTGGGGCTCGGGCTACTAACTTTTATTTTAGGGGCCCGAGGATCTCCCAAAAAATTGTGTTAGGCAGCAGCCTTGTCCAGTAGTCCGGGACAAGTAGATATTTAAGTTGGGCAAGTAACTTTAAAGAGCTTACTCTCCCAAATGGGCAGGGGTCCAGGCAAGTTATCCACAAACAAAATCATTAACTAAGACAAGTAAGAAGTCACCCCGGGAAAGCCAAATATGAGAGCTGCTTGCCCAAAGGACAAGCTGGAATTCAAATTTCTTCAAGCCCTGCTGTTTGTTAGAAAATTCATTAAACTAGACTGAGGAGGCTAGAGCCTAGAGGCCAGGGTTACCCCAGCCATGGCCGGGCTGGCCATGGGATAAAAAATTCGCAGAAAAAAAAAAGAAAGAAAACAAATTGGCAGAATTGGGACCAGCAGGCTAGCCTGGCCTGGCCAAAAGAGGACCAAAGCCTGCACTGAAAGCCAGGTTGACCTTGGCCATTTCCCAATCATTGAGCAAGCCAAGGGATAAAAAATCTGGGGCAAGTGGTACCAGTAGGCCAGCCCGGATTGGCCAGAACAGGGCCAAAGGTGGCCTAAAAGCTGGGGTGACCCTGGCCATTCCCCTGTGACTGAGCCAGGCTAGCTAAGGGATAAAACATCTATAGATACCAGAATTGGAGGGTAGCTAGCCCGGCTTTTAGCCCGGCCCAGCCAGAACACTTGGCCAAAGCTTTACTCATTTTAGCCACTAACTGAGCCTTACTATCTTGTTTGTACTACCCTGCCTCAAACAATGATCTTCTCATGCAGAACACACCGCCCAAAAAAGCCCACAAGTTGATGTACTCTGGGAGATTTGGTGACCCATACAAGAGATTGGAACTGTATATAGGGGGCTCCCGGATAATGTGGAATCTGCCAGTCATGGGCATTGCTGTCTTCTCATTCAATAGCACAGCACTGGTATAAATTAGGGACAAACTGATGGTTAAAAAGCGAGAACAGTAAAAGCAAGACAAAGGTAATTACTCTGGAAGGTCTAACTTTTTTCCAAAAACATTCCACCGGGACGAACGCTTCCACGTGAATTCTCCCTTGCGTTGAATTACCGGGTTTTCTAAACAAATGGCAAACATCCATTGTCTAACAGTCTTGTGATCCATGTTTCGGTAGAACGACCATGGAAAGTTAATCGCTTTTTTAACAAATAGGTCAGTAACTTACCGCCACAGTAAAATGCAGAAAATAATCTCTGATCTTCGCGTTTAAGCCCAGTGTGATCAGATCATCAGTTTAAACTTGGCCGCCATTACGGCCATGTTGTTTTCGCCGCTGACTAGCCTACGTCATGTAGCAGGCGCAAAAAAGGGGAAGAGATGGGGAGAAACGCGCGAAGGGGAAACTCCCCCTCCCTTGCCCTCCCGCATTTTTCATTACCATGGGTGCCCCTTGTTAAAAGCTCAAAATGTTGACATGCGCCATCGAACGGAATTTGGCGGATTTTTAGCATGTTGCTTAGAGTAGTCCACCCTTACTTAAATGACGTTGAAAACAATTCTGTTGCAATTAGTTTGATGTTGAGCCTCTAACATGCCTGGATTGACTGGACTATTAATTTTACTGAGTTTGTAACTTTTTAACGTTAAATCCAGTACATTTACTACAAAATAACAAACGGCTACACAATTATGATAAGAGAGAGTAAAAATAGTAATCCTAAAGGAGGGGGAGGGGAGAAAAAATACTGAAGAAGAATGGCCTTGCTTTCCAAGATTGCTTTCATATTTAACTTTAAGCGAATTCGTACATAACCTACAATAATCATTGACACTCAAATCAGACGACAATACTCTCCTTCTCGCAAAAAACTACCAGCTTGCATAATGTACACAACAGACGTGTTTATTTTTATTTTATCAGAAGTGAAGGGAGCTTCCGGTACAATAGTTGTTCGGTGTTGATTGGTCGGCTTCTCATTTCCGGAACAGAGGTCAAGCGCGATAATTAATAGCGGGTGTTTTTCATTTTCACAGTATTTTCGGGCAGGCGTTTTCTCT